GTACTTTAGAATGTCAGTTTAAAAAAGAAATAAATTTCTTTATATATTTTTTTTTAACAACCAACTTACACACCTAATATTAAATTATCAATTACGTTTATATAAAAAAAATTATCACAATTTTTTTGTTGCATTTTCTACAATCACCACTGTAATTATGTTAATCCGACTAAACAACTATACATAATCGTTATATAAAAAATAAATAAAAAAAAATTAAAACTTTGTCCGTTCTGATTGGTGTCGCGCTACCAACTGTTTTCAGCGGTTTTGTTTTTTATTATCATCGCCGAGGATGAGCTTTAATGGTAGGTACGACTTGGACATCGCCGACGTCGTCAACGTGGCTTCCTCCTGACGATATCCGGCGACACGTGCTTTGCCTTAGATGTGCGAGGAAAAGCCAGATTAGGACTTACCACCCGCAGTACGCAGCAACGTAGGTATTATACCGGGGAGTGTCGCAATGTGGCGCCCTCCATCTAACGTTTTTTTTGTAATAAAAAAAAAATAATATCTCGCAATTGCAAAATATATCATAATGTTTGGTGTCTTTTTCTACAATCGATTTGTTCTTACTAGGGTCATTTTTTTTTCCGACTATTTCTTTTTTTTGACTCCCGTCCTGAAATTTTGTTAAAAATGCTCCAAAAAAATTCCCTGAAAGTTTGAGCCCTTAATATTAATATTAAGTCCTCGACCAAGGCGTGCAAAGATTTTCCATTTAAAATACACGTAAAATTAGGGATTTTTTCTTCAGATTTCTATAGCTTAGCAGCATTTTATGGTATTATTTTGACCATAGAAATGTATTTTTTCAAATTGAACGCTCTACAAAAGTGTCCATTGCGGCGATGTCGTAACTCACATCGGCGAGGTAGTACGGGGTCACTAAATCGAATTTTTTCTTGAAATTCTCATTATTTTGACCCTATGTCATAATTGAGAAGAGTTAGAAGAGAAGAATTAAGACATGAAATAGGAAATTGCAACAGGATTTAGATAAAATGCTTTTAACTATAAATGAACAATTTAAAACTATTAAGTGAATAATTTCACAGAGACTAAAATTAATATGAAAAGGAAAAATCTTATTTAACATATTTAAACATATTTAAACATATTTAAACATATTTAAACATATTTAAACATATTTAAACATATTTAAACATATTTAAACATATTTAAACATATTTAAACATATTTAAACATATTTAAACATATTTAAACATATTTAAACATATTTAAACATATTTAAACATATTTAAACATATTTAAACATATTTAAACATATTTAAACATATTTAAACATATTTAAACATATTTAAACATATTTAAACATATTTAAACATATTTAAACATATTTAAACATATTTAAACATAGTAAAGTATAATATCTTATTCCAAAAAAATAATATATAAATTATCCATGTGTGTTACTCATTGTTGATAGGTATTGACAATTTATTTAAAAAATCCTTGTATAAAATATATATATTTAACAATATATTAGTATTAAAACTTACCTTATAAAATCAGACGGATTATACGATAGATAAAAATTATTTAGTACATCGGATGGATAAAATAATTTAAAATGAAATCTAGTTGATTCGTTGACATTCAAGTCAAAAATGATTTTCACAGTATGAATCAAGAAAGAAGAAAACGACAAATGACATTTGAGTAGAGGTGAATGTGTCAAAATAACGAATAACGGTTCCAACCGTTACAAACTTGGATTTATTTAAATAGGCTGTCATAAAAATGGTATAAAAAAAGTTTTTCCTACGGCCTACGAGTATTCCTCGCAAGTTGAAAACTGTACTTTTTCTATGGCTACATTTGGGGAACACTTACATAAGAAACCATCATAATATCGTTAGAAAAAATGACCTAATAAAAAAATTATTGTAAAATCCTAATTTGAAAATCAGAAAACATAAAGTGTTGTGGTTTTTGGTAACTCAATTTATTTACAACTCAACTATACAACAACTATGAACGTTATCGTACAACGTCTATCTTAAATCACTTGACGTTCGACTTATATAGCTCCCTTGAACCTTCTCGAACCTTCTAGAAATTTCCATATATTAACGTTTCTAGATTATTCTCTTTTCTTAGTAGATCTCAGGTGCATTAGAACGCTTTTGAACTGCGCATGTGCGGAATATGTCACATGTCAACTGTCATGTCAACTGTCATGTCATATGTGAATTGTCAGCTGTCATGCCATATGTGAACTGTCAGCTCCCATGTCATATGCCAACAGTGTTGCTAACTGTCAGATGTCAATTGACATATGACATGACAGATAACATGTGACATTCCACGATTGTGCAGTTCAAAAATGTTCCAAACGCATGCCAGATTTACTTTCCCCTTTCGGTTAAAGGAAGTGGTCAGAGGATATCTATGGCGATTCGTTCGAAAGGCTCTCCGGAAAGGTACTGTGTCATTTTACATCGACTTCTTGTTTTGGGCCCTTTTCTGCTATTGCAAAAGTTACATTCCTTTCACCAATACTGTACATCCCGTCGGCATTCGACCCAATAAAATATTTCTCGAACTCGTGCCAGTGTCCTTTTAGTACCAAAGTGTCCTCCTGAACGGCTGCTATGAAGCTCCTCCAACACACTTCTGACATGCGACTTCGTCAGTACCATTTGGCGGACTACATGTACTCCGTCGGGTCTCTTTCACTTCCGGTGCAATAGACCATAGTGAAGATACAGGAAATCCCACTGAGTCCAGTATCCAGTACCCGAGTATTTTCCCAATGTCATTATAAATACCCAAAATGAGGGAATTTATCACATACTTTGATTACAGTTCATCAAATTTCTAGAGGCTTTCGACGGCTAGACAGAGAAAGCACTACTGACAGGCATCCCGACGGATTTACGCAATGAAAGTACACTTTGCGCATCAAGTATTTCACTATTTCATTCAGACGTAAATGTCAGATGTAAATTTCGCTAAAACATTTCTTTTATTTTCGTTTGTGTTTTTTGCTCATTACAGTTTGAAAGAACCTAAGTATGGAGTTTAATAGCAAATTAAGAGGCCGCGTGATTAACAGTCAATCTCGCGAAATAATAGCCAATGTTATAGAGTTTATGAGAAGAGAAGGAAACTTTAATTCACCTTCAATACCATTTAAAAATGTAAATGATCGTGTTGCTGCAGCCACAGGAGTATCTAAAAACACTGTCGTCCGCATTTCTGGAGAGAAAAAAAGAATCGATAACCGTGAGATATCGGAATTTTCATCACCAAGAAAAACCATTAAAAAACCAAAAACAGTTAATGATATAGATGAAGCTGCACAAAAATCAAATTTTATTTTTTTATTATTAGAGAGCTATTTTTGTTTCTGAGTTGTGTTCATTTACAGGCTCAATTTTTTTCCGTTTCTCCTTTTTGATTTTATATGGGGTTTCAAGTTGTTTTTGACTTATTTCGACGTAAATCACAACAACACACTTTTTTAATAAAGCAAACAAGTGTTAAGAGGTATATGTACGTGTAAACTACAATTACAAAAAATTGATATGAAACCCATGAAACCACCAACAAAAATGTAAAGCTAGCTTCCGTACTAGAACATGGTGTCATTCGTCGAGATAATTTATCGTTTTGTTTAATAGATCAAGAAATGTAAATATTCCCGTTATTTTTTATAAAATTATGAGAAATAAATTTTTTTCTAAATAGTATAGTTTATTATTTTGTAGAAAAACAAAATTTCGAAAATTTTAGTAATGTTTCAGAAACAACCGTTATTAATAATAGGTACCATTTTCCTTAATAAGGTAGAAATAAAATATAAACTATTTCCACGATTTACAAAGGCCTACAAAAAAATTATAGGTATTTTCCGCTATCCTATAAAATTTATATTTTCTGACTCAATTTCAAAAGGTTGAAGGAATTCCAAAACACCTTTTATGGCATAATAATTATTTTCAATTCTACATACTATCTTTAGCTGCTTTTAAAAACGTTCTAAGAAAGTCCAATCAGACCAATTTAATCCCTAAACTATTCCACACTTTTAAAATTTAATTACCTAAAAATATTAAAAACTATTTAAAATAACTTGTTTAGCAGACTGTACAATAGCTATCTTAGTCACACGTAGCGCGTTCTCTGTCTGGGCGTCGAACACCTCTAGAAATTTGATGAACTGTACTATACGGGGCAAGAGAGAGGTCCGACACGCCCAACATAGGGCGCGGCCATTTTGAACCCTATGACACAGTTTATAGCTAAAGAATCAGATCGCTCACTCCGCGTCGGCACTTTTTATCTCAATGTTCCAGTTTATACACTGCGCAACTCAGATAATACAATATATGACAACCGCCTATAATAAAACAGCAGTCTTCTGCGTATCCTGAATTTGTATCCCTGGAGTGGATGTTATTTTGGAACTTTCAACTGGTCCGAGTGAGCTAATTGATTCTTTAGCAATAAACTGTGACTCCAAAAATAATATTCACTGACACTGACAGCAGCAAGCAAAATATCAGGTGCGTTTTATTCACCCGCTTCTGCTTCCGGAATTGTCGGTTCAGTCGTTCTAACCTGTCAGATTAAAACAAGAAAACCGACAATTCCTAAGCAGAAGCGGATGATTAAAACGCACCTATTAAAAATATTGCGCCAAGATGTAGGCAACACGTAATAAGGGTTCAAAATGGCGGAGTTTTCTATCTCCTTTTAAAAGGCACTCAGAAAGCTGCGCAGTGTGACCATTCTCCGTATAGTAAAAGAAAATCAAAGTATGTGGTATTTATAGTTTGCAGTGTAAAAACAAAAAGTACTAGATTTGTCAGACTAAATATCATTCATTAGTACTAGAAAAAATACAATTGTACTAGATCTAACCTCTCTATCATCTACCACTATCGTATTATCCATAACCTAACTTTTAGTTGGAGTTTTAGTCTGTGGCATCAGTTATTTATCTTTTAACAGCTTTTAACAGAATAATGGTTAAGAAGAAGGGTGCAACTTGGCATTTTTTCAAGGAGAAAGGCAAAAATGGTGTTGTGTACAAACATTCAAATGTTAATAAAATGGCGAAACACATAAATAAGTGCTTTAAGTGTCCTAAAGAAATGAAGAAAATTCTTTATTTAGTGCCAACCACTGTATCTACTAGAGTAGACCTATCAATGTCCATGTCCACCCCGAAGACAAAAATTAAATGTCCCCAACAGGGCCAACAGCTAAAGGAGTTAAAAGTAGATGTGTCTTTTGAACTAGAAGAAGCAAATCCAGCAGGGCCACGTTCAAGTAGGAGCCAAACTTTTCCAGTTTTATCTTTATCTGAAACTGAAAGAAGTGCTACTGCCACTAATGCCAGTAACGTCTGCAAAAAGTGCTTGTTCCATCTAACTTCAATTGATCTTAACCAACACCTTCCATCATGAATAACAACAGAGGAGGCCTGTTAACTTTTGTGGATCATATGGATAATCAGTTAAATGTAAGTATACACTACAATCAGTAGTAGACAGTAGACAATACATAATTAGGCATTCCAAACAAATGAATTGCCAGTGGGAAGGTTTGGTATATCTAAGGGTGGCGACATACGGTGTATTTTATCTACTTTACGTAAAATCATGAATAATGGATTACATTTAAATATTTTATGTCAAACACAATAAAAATAATATTTAAAAAACCTACCTATACATTTCTTCATAAATTGGCAGGCGTGGCGACTACTACTTCGAATAAAAATAGCGTCCAAATTGCAAGACTATGTCGCTACCCCCTTAGATATACAAGAATTTCCCACTGGCACATATTGTTTGTCAGGTCGTTGGAATGCCTAATAGTACATCAGACATTTTTTCAATCAGGCTAAGAAGTAGGGGTAGGCTGTAGGCTAGGTGCTAGGCTTTTAGGGCTACCACCATACCATACCAAAATAGTGTTTTGTAACTTAGCCTATTAAATTTCATTAAAATATTTGGCGATTTAGGCCTATACTTTAAGGTCTATTAGGTATACAAATTATACAATACGAACGTTATAAAAAGCATTGGTTGTTATGGTTGCTAGGGAGTTGTTTATCAATGCTTTATAACGTACATATTTAACTAATAATATCAATAGCATATAAGGAATAGCCTCATTTCCCGATTCAAATGTATACGTTACTCCCATCCAAAGAATATTAGTATTTTTTCAGCCCAAAGCGCAATAGGTGGCGCTGCTCCTGCGCGTTATTCATTTGTATTTGCCGAAGAAACAGAAAAAAGGCATTTCTTAGTATACTAGCGCTGTCAATTGTTGATTGACGATTGACATCGTCGGATGGAGAAAGGCTGAAAGGCGCTTTTGCTAATATCAAAGGTTACAATCGGTATTTAATATCGTTATAATATCAAATATGTATTTTTTCAGGAAAGCCTCAATCAAAGTTTGGCCAAAGCAATTTTTGTAAGCGGTACTCCATTGTCTGTGGTTGAACACCCACTGTGGTTAGAATTCTTTAAACGGCTTTGTCCTTCATTTAAACCACCATCAATGTATCACCTTTCATCAACTTATCTGAAAGTTCAGTATTCAGAAATACAAAATGAAGTTACAAGCCAGCTAAAGGATTCAAAACACTTACATTTACAATGTGATGGCTGGAGCAACATCAGAAATGAGTCTATTGTAAACTTTGTTATTCCAAAACCAGAGCCACTTATTGTGGAGTCCGTCGCAGACACAAAGCATCTTACTTAGCCTGGCTGATAATCAATATTATTAAAAAATATGGTACTGAAAAGTTTTTGGTAATCATTGGGGACAATGCTTCCAACATGAGAGCTGCTTTGGCGTTGGTAAAGGAGAAGTATCCATCAATCATACCTCTTGGTTGCCTTGCTCATCTCTTACACCTTCTATGTGAAGACATCTTAAAGTGCAATACTATTAAATCTTTTATGGCAACTGCTACTAGCATAGTAAAAACTATCATGAACAACCATGCCCTAAAAGCACTATTTGACAGGTTTCAAATGCAAAAAAGTCAAAAGACATAGTTTCTTTGAAACTGCCTGGTCAAACAAGATGGGGAAGCAACTTGTTTTGTTTATTATCAAATAAATCTGTGCTTCAAAAACTAGCTGTCAGTGAAGAAGCAGAAATCTCATCCGAAATGAAAAGACATACTTGATGATGGTATGTTTTGGGTTAGAGTTGAAAAAATGGTTAACATCTTAAATTGAATTGTTGAGTTTATCACTGTCCTTGAATCAAACACCCCCCTGAACCACAATGTTTATACAAAATTTTACACTCTGCAAGAAACCCCTTAAACAAGAAATGCCAGAATCTCCACTTCAAAACATTGAGGAAAAAAATGTGTTTTCAAAGTTAGAAAAACGTATTCAATTTGGGGTGGGACAAATTCACCTGGCTACTGACTTGTTAATGGGAATAAATACAGTTGATATTCGTCAAAATATATCTGACTATAGAGATAAAGAAGGGCTGTGGCAAAGGTCTTTTATTTGGGAAGGTGTAAAACATTCACGAAATGAAAAAGAAATCAGTCCTATGTTATGGTGGAAGGAGTTAAGGGGAACATGTGTATTGGCTGATGTAGGTGTGAGAATATTAGGAGCACTTGTGACATTTGCCGCAACTGAAAGACTTTTAGTACTTTCAGTTGGATTTATTGTAAAAGAAGAAATAGACTTAGCACCGAAAGAGCTGGACAAATAGCATATTTATCGCACAATTGGAATCTTCTAAACGACCCCACAAAGCCAGGAACTGTAGAAAGAAGCCAAGACGGTGATTTGACTTTTACAAAAAGGCAAAGTAGTAGTGATTATAGTTACGTCAGTGACGATGGCCACATGTCACTTTCAAGCCACTTCAGTGACGAAATCAACTCTGAGCCAGAATAATCAGACTTAGATTAAGTCATCATATTGTACTGATTTAAATTTTTGAATTACAAAATAAATTTAACACAATTTTACAAGGTTTAACTTCCTGCGAGCCGTGATTCGCTTTTTTGGGTATTTACCCGAGTATTTATCCTGGGTATTTCACATAACTAGGTTTGACTCAATTTTTGAGCCATACTCGCATAACCTTCAAGTTATTGCCTTTCTTTTGAGTCTTTCTTAGGTTCTCAAGGGTGATTTCGTCTTCCTCATTCTTTGACTTGATGGTGGTCGCCTGAAGACTAACTTCTTCAACCGGCTCCTCTCATTCTTCGAGCCCATTACAGCGCCGCTATTGTCGTCTAAACAGGGTCGCCTGAAAATAATGTCTGCGTTGCTATGGAGACAGTCTGTTCGATGCACTCTCTCGAAGTTATTTTGTTGTAGTCTTTATATCCATCTAGCAACTTGTCCTTGAGGTTTTTTAAAATTCATCAGCCACTGCAAGGCGCTATGGTCACTTAAGTGTTCAAGGGCTTTGACAATAGCTAAGAGTTTTTTTCCCAAGAACAGAAGGAGGAAGATAAAGTAATTGCGCATTTTAGTAAGACCTTGCTACTTCTTTCTGTTTAGTAAATAGGTGCTTGCCGTATTGGCTTTGTATCGCCGGTATAAATAATAATAATTCTATGCTTCTATGTGGTTGTGGTTCTTATTGATAAATTCTTTGACTTTTTTAAGTTCTTCAGCTGTCAGGTGGTCATAATTTTTAACTCAGTTGACGCCAGCTTTGTGAAACAGCTTTCGTGATTTGGTTGGACACTTTAATAACAAATTCAGTCACAAGAAATGTCTCACAAATATACACATTGGCTCTAGGACTATATACTCTGTTCCTTAAAAAGTGCTTGTTTAGCGGATAATTATTTAAAAATGCTTCGTGAATATGGTTGTGGACTAATTTTATTACTGTTGCATTTCCCATGGGAAGCAGGGTGCAGGCTCTCTGCCGCAACCCCATAGAATAATTAACAGGCCATTTTATTTGGCAAAAATCAGAATAATGCTTGGCTGTGCCTGTGAAGTTTCAAGATGTCAACTGTGATGCGTACCGCCTCTTAAATGTCAAATTATTTAAAAATGTTTGTATGCTTCTTTTGATATTTATTGCAAATAATTTGTAGTGTATCTCAATTCAGGCTTTCCATAAATAAAGGTACAGCAAGACAGATAATATGATATTCTTATACAAAGCACTTTTTTATTACATAAAAGAGAGGTAGGATATAATGCTGGTTTTTTGTAGATAATTTTAATTATACGATTTTGGATTACGTTAAGGAGTTGAAGTGTAATATCATATAGTCCACATTATACCATATCGCAAAATAGATTCAACCAGCGAATTGTAAATAATAATTAGTAAATTCTTAGTCATACATTTTCTCAATTCATAAAATTTAAAAATCTTAATTTTTTGTTCGCTTTCTTTCTTAAACAAATTCCTCTATTTTAATTTTATTAAATTTTTCGTCTCCCTCGTTTTTTAGTAAAAAAAAAGTGGTTGATATCTATAACAGTAGACAAATTATTTTTACTGTTAAGACTACACATCAAGTACCTATCTTCTGACTAACTAAAACTAGAAATAAATCGGTCATGCTTAAATAGGGAAGAACTCGAGAACTGCATTTATTTATAGGTAACTGATCGATTTGTGTGCAATAGTCGCCACTTTTAGACTTACAGGAAGAATTTTTTACATAATTTTTTGGTTTTAACTTGTATAAAATCTCTGTCTTGAAATTTAAAAAAAGATTCCATTGAAAAGGTGTGCTCGGATTAAAAAAAAGTATTATTTACTGTCTGATCTTATTTTTCTACATTTTTATATAAGAATAGTACCTATTTGTACCTATTACACTGACAATTTTCAGTTTATAAGGACATCCTTTGCGTCTATTATTACGTCAACAGTATATTAAATAATAAATTTATAGTAATGCCAGTAATATAAATCCGAACAATATAATCTAGTGTGATCCATGAAAATAGACAATCACATAGAACAGTTAATTCTATAGAATTCGGTGCGTATTTTATTATTTTATGTCCTATCAAAGTGTCAAAAATAATAGGGAAAATTTCAAATTCAATTATTTTGAATTAGCAAGATTAAATGAGAAAAATAATTTAATATCAGTGAAATCTACATCTTTTTGGAATATGACCTAGTACATAGAAACCCTTAAATATAATACTATAATTTTATATTTTAATAAAATGTGGAGCTATATTTTCTGTCTTTATTCCACCTAATCTATATAATACAGTGCGAAAGATTTAATTAATTTGACATTATAAATAATTTTCTTCTTCTCCTATCATAAGTAAAAAAAAACTATTATTACTTACAGAGGTAGAGTAAGGAAACGTCTGTTTTTAGCTACCGAAGTCAGTATTTTGTTTAATTACGTGTTTTGTAATCGTTGTTTGCTTATTTTATAATATTTATTGTACATATTTAATGTGTGTATGCATAGTAGCTACACGCATCTACAAAGATTCCGGTAACAATGTGTCTACGTTTTGGTTATCTGCATAATGAACAAAAACAAGATTAGATCATATACCTACCTAATATGTTTACTTACTAGAAATATTAAACCGTATATTCCATTTTCGTTTTCGGAATAATATTTTTAAGGTTAGGTTTGTGTGTCTTATTTTATTATCCATGGTCTTATTATAACATACAATAGATGGGAGAGCATTTAATGGTGATCCTAAAGAAATAAGAAATGCGAAAACCGATCAAAGAAGAAAATACAAAAAAACAGTTAGTGAAAGATCACCAGAAAATGAATATTTCTTCAGAACAACTGAGAAAAGTAATTAAAACTGGAAAAACTAATTAATATAGATTAGATAGATAGATAGCTCTAACAAGAAATAGAATCTCTCGTTGTTTAATAAGAATAATACAGTCCTATTTTGAAAACAGATACATACAGAAAGAAGACGGGCAACTAGTGCAGATCACATCAGGGGTACCACAAGGCTCAGTCCTTGGGCCTATTTTATGGAATATATTTTATGACCAAATTTTAAGAATGGACTGTGGTAAAGTAGTAAAACTAATAGCCTGTGCAGATAACCTTGTAATCATTATAAAAACAAAAACTAGAGGCCTATTGGAGACGACTGCACAATATGCTGTTGAACAAATTATGGATGGACTAAAAGAGCTAGGACTCAAAGTAGAGGTGACAAAAACGGAATCGGTAGCATTAACAGGAGAGAGAAGAATATCAGGTCTGCAACTTAATGTAGACGGGAAATAAAATGGGGTGAGGTAGATTACTACCTAACCCAGGCATTAACTGGTCACGGTATCTTTGGAAAATACCTACTACGAATAAAAAAAGCCCAAAACAGTAGCTGCTGGTACTGCGAGAATATGGACGATACAGTACTGCATACAATCTTCGAGTGTGCCAGATGGAATGAATTAAGAAGAATTGCAAACGTGAGATGCGGAACGGAGATTACAACAGACAACGTGGCGGAACTTCTACTTCGCACTGAAGAAAACTGGAATGCAATAGCAGAAATGATACGAGGGATAATGAAGCAAAAAGCATTAGACGAACGACTGCTAGCGATAACCATGTAACCATGTGAAAACAAAAGATAGACACGCAAAGACAATCTCCTTTTCCGAAGTAATGCGAGAGCGATTCCAGAAAAGGAAGGTAGGCATATGAGGTGAGGTTTAGTGGGTAAACAGGGACTTGCACCCACACTCCCTGTCGCGATAGATTTAAGATCAGATCCCAAGCGCAGGGGCCGGCATATAAAATGTTCCTCACCCGACAAAAAAAAAAAGATAGATAGATAGATAGATAGATAGATAGATAGATAGATTAGATAGATAGATAGATAGATAGATAGATAGATAGATAGATAGATAGATAGATAGATAGATAGATAGATAGATAGATTAGATAGATAGATAGATAGATAGATAGATAGATAGATAGATAGATAGATAGATAGATAGATAGATAGATAGATAGATAGATAGATAGATAGATAGATAGATAGATAGATAGATAGATAGATAGATAGATAGATAGATAGATAGATAGATAGATAGATAGATAGATAGATAGATAGATAGATAGATAGATAGATAGATAGATAGATAGATAGATAGATAGATAGATAGATAGATAGATAGATAGATAGATAGATAGATAGATAGATAGATAGATAGATAGATAGATAGATAGATAGATTAGATAGATTAGATAGATAGATAGATAGATATATAGATAGATAGATAGATAGATATATAGATAGATAGATAGATAGATAGATAGATAGATAGATAGATAGATAGATAGATAGATAGATAGATAGATAGATAGATAGATAGATAGATAGATAGATAGATAGATAGATAGATAGATAGATAGATAGATAGATAGATAGATAGATAGATAGATAGATAGATAGATAGATAGATAGATAGATAGATAGATAGATAGATAGATAGATAGATAGATAGATAGATAGATAGATAGATAGATAGATAGATAGATAGATAGATAGATAGATAGATAGATAGATAGATAGATTAGATAGATAGATAGATAGATAGATAGATAGATAGATAGATAGATAGATAGATAGATAGATAGATAGATAGATAGATAGATAGATAGATAGATAGATAGATAGATAGATAGATAGATAGATAGATAGATAGATAGATAGATAGATAGATAGATAGATAGATAGATAGATAGATAGATAGATAGATAG